TAATATAAACCTGTGTTCAGGTTCAAATGCTATAAAAAATAGAATTTCTTGCAATAACTGGTATTATCTTGATTGCACTTTTAAAAATTCAGGGTGCAAAACTGGTGATAAATCAGGGGAATTTAGGGATTAAGATATTGGATTGGGGATCACAAAAGGGAGAAAAGGAAGACACAGGATGATGGCAAAGCCACGGAAGAACCTAATGGAATCTTACATTACAGCACCCCCTCCTGGGCAAAATCTCCAACTGCATCCCAGTTTTCCACAAATACCATTAGGATATTGCAAAAAATATAATAAAAGAAATAGAAATGGAAAACGTTCTGGTCCGGACACTTGCACTCTTAGACCCATTGACTATGCACAGAGCATGCATAGCTTTTCTTGTTCTGTTTTCTCAGCCAGGATGTATTTTTCTGCTGCATTCAAGGAATATTAATCAGAACTGGATTATGAAAACTGTCTGTGTACATTTTTATTATTTACCTTGAATCTTTAATATGATATGGCCCAGAATTCTGCCATTAAAAATCAGTGATTTAATGGTTTATATTCTTATGTCTTACTTCTTGTATAAAGAGCTGTGATATTTTGGAGTACTTTTCTCAATTCAATAATATTCAGTAGACACCATTAATCCATTTCTTTTCCTCTGACACATATGCATGTGCACACATATATGTGCATGCACCCCCACACAAAGGCATTTTCTACACCTGGTAAATCTAAAGACAGCTTGAATACTTAGTCCTCTTTTCTAATCAGCAGAGGAGACAGACTAGTACCTTGGACAGCGAATGGCACGCTATGCGCATTCACAGCATGAAACTCAGCTCATGCGTATAAACTGTGTTGCTGCTGACTCCGTACTCATACTGGAAATCTCAGCCAGAACCAATTTCATTTGGTGTTGTGGAAATCCAACCACTATATTAGCATGTTGCCTGAACCCTTCATACTGCATCTTCCTATAGTTTCAGTATGTGAATCCAACAGGTGAACATTGCATTTAAGGCTAAGAGTTTTGTGTATTGTAGCATAGCAATTTTCTCCCCAAATTCATGCTATTAGTGTGTATTTAGCATGGTATAAACATTTCAAAATAAATAAACCTTTTCTCAACTTTCAGAAATATCCAGGATCTTACTAAAGACAAGGGGCCAAACAAATATTCCCTGGCCCAGTTCCTGTCTTCTCAGAATGTGAAGAATGGCATCTAGAATGAATGGAACTTGCTTGAACAAGCATTTATTTGAAATGTTATAGGGTTTCCCAAGGTCCCTTTCAACTCTTTTATCTTGCCTGGGCCAGGCACAATTAGCTCTAATACCCAGAGAAAGGCAAATAGAACTGAACATGTACTGATTGGAAAGCAGTGGGTTTCCTTAGAACTTGGAAAGAAATTCAAATTAAGTTTACTACTATTTGATATATTTATTCAAGAACCAGAATGGCTGCCTGTCCTTTTTATAGAGAAGAAAATTATCCTTTTGCATGAGAAACAAATATTCCCATTGGTTAACAATGTGTAAATATTCATATTTGACACAGTAAATTCAGAATCTTACTTTCTTGTAACTTACTGAATAAATAGCTGGCTAAATTTTAGCTTAAAGTTATGTGAACTGTGCCCTGTGGTTAAGTCTGTGGTTCAATAAATTTACTACTTGACCATGAGTAAGCCTATCAAATAAATCATTGAAAAACAGCATTAACTGAATTCAGGTAATATTATTTAGCATTCATATTTAAAAACTAAGTTATATTTGATGGATTATGTGTTATCAAGTCAGTGTTGACTCTTAACAACCATGTAGATTTTCTCTGGACAGCCTATCCCCAGTTCAGTCCTTTCAGCAATGAATCTGTCACATATAATTGAGTCCATCCTCTTTTCTTTCCACCATTCCCAGCATTACAGATTTCTCTACAGACTTAAGTCTTCTTATAATGTGCCCCATGTATAATTTTAGCCCAGTCCTTTGAGTGAGAATTCTGGATTATTTGTTTGATGGCCCATTTGCTTGTTTTCTCGGTTATAATGTAGCTGATACAAATTTTAAAACTCATTTTAATCCATGCTGAGTGCTCTTGAGCAACCTTTTCTGTTTTCTAATTGACCAAAAAATCACAGCCCAAAGTTTGAGGAAACTGCTCAGTGAAGTCAATCCTTTTAGCTCTTTAAAATGTCTTGTTTTTAGAACCTATGTATGTTTAAGTGTAATCAGTCAGCCAAATTCAAGCAGTATTCCAATCTGAAGGTATCCTGAAGGAAATCTGCAATTGACAAATATTGTTCCAAATACATCATCAAGGAAAAGCCATTTTGCTATTATGAGACAGGAATAAAATGCAGAGCATAAAATCCCACTTGAAAGACTGCTCTTGGGCTCATTCATTGGAATACCGTATTGGCTTAAAAGAGTAAAGAAATTACAGGGCTATTTTAATAGTGTTTCCTTATACTTTCAATTCCTTCATAGTATTGGGCTATGTCCAACTGTAGCCTAATGAAGTGTCCACACTGTGACACATAAAAGAGTTTGCACAATGCAGGTAGTTGTCGTTTAGTAACAATTGGTTAGCAGGTGCATTTTTGTTTTTACTTCAGGTTTCCTTTGTAGTATCAGAAGGATAATTAGCAACGAGAGGTTTGTATTTACATTCACTGGAGAGGAAGGAATTACAAAAGTAGGTATACAGAAGGATATAGCTCTAACTGAAACAACAGAAGCTGGGTAAAGAGGCAAATCTTATAGCATGGGTCCACAATCCCCGGTCTGCAGACCAGTACCCATATATGGCCTGCTAGGAACTGAGCCACAGAAGCAAGTGAAACTTCATCTGCATTTGCTTGGGATCTAGGTAGTGTACAAAACCCCCAGGAAAAATTGTTTTCCATGAACCTGGTGCCCAAAAAGTTGGGGATCACTGTCTTATAGTCTCTCCCCCCCCCCCTAGAAATATTCTCTGGTGCTGGAGAAGTTTGCATTTACATTCACAAGAGAGTAAGTTAAGTACACAATGGGGAATACAGACGCAAAAGAATGCACTGGCAGCAGCTGTTAAAAGCTTTTATAGGTCCTCTTGATTTACTACAATTTGGATTGTAGTTTTGCTGCCGTAAACAAAATTAAACAAATCATCATAGTTAAGAAGACATCATGTAACTACAACTTGTGATCTTTCCTGCTGGCTTTCCTATTGACTTTGCTTGTCAGAAGATGGTTGGGAAGGTCGTAAATGGTGACCATGTGATCGCAGCGTAAGTATGAACCAGTTGCCAAGTACCTGGATTGCAAGTGCATGAATGTGGGGACACTGTGACAGTCATAAGTGTGAGGACCAGTCATAAGTCACAGGACTACTTGTGTGAAACTGATTAGGGTCTTGCCAATTTCAGAAAGCAGCTACAAGCTGGTAAGACAGATCTAACCATCTAATTAAAATCACAGAGTTGAACCTGTTAACTTTCTCTTAACATTTTAGGGAAACTCTATGGTGTGGAGAAAAAAGAGATAAATGGTTTAGGCAATCTCCACTCTGGGAGAAGGAAAAAGGAAAAGAAATGATCAGGCATAGAAGGTGTATTGACAGTAAACAAGTGAAGATTATTAATGTTGGCACTAGTCACAAAGTTAACCTTTTCATCAACATACTAAAAATCACTATAAAAGTGTAATTGGCAGCATACATATTCATAAAATAAAGTGAAATCTTTCGTGTTCTGAGCTTGGTTGTTTGCTTGCAGACATTTTATTACTAATTAGGCAATATCAATGCCCCACTGCAGCCAACCTCAGAGAGCACCAGGGACTCCACAGTTCAACCTTGAGCCACATACATTCTCTTCTGTTGGATAAAAGAAAGTACATTAAATATACTATAAGAAATGAAGGCTGATAATAATAACACAGCTGTAAGTTGTTCAGATAGAACAGCTCAGAAAATGCTTCTAGTGTATCATTTTCAGGAAAAAAAAAAAAGACACCATCCTCATCTTCCTAATAGATGTGTCCTAGTCATAACTATAGTTCAAACCAGGGTTCATTGAACAACAGTGAAGAACTACTATTTGTATTTAACAGGCCATCTAGCTGTATTCACAGAACATGCCAGAACCATATTGGCAAAGATCCAGTGGCTGCACTTGCACATGCTTAGTTATTGCTTATATTGGGTTAGTTTCTTTGGAGCTTAGCTTATTGTGCAAACCAGTCAGTTTGATTAGTTTATGGTTGTGTTGTGCAGTCCCCAAACCAGGAATAAGGTAACTGAATTGTACAAACGCAGTGTTTTAGAATACCATTCTAAAAAGGGTTTGAAAGAAAAACAAATGTTGAAAGTATCCTTCTCAGAAATTAAATCCATAACTCTTTTGCTTTCATATGATTTCTACCTTCTTCCCTACAGCAGCTATAAAAAATAAAGACAGCCACAATGTTAGTTTCAGTTTAGCAACATTACTTCTAGATTTGTTACGTTATTAGAAAAATGTGCATCTGTAATTAAAATGTTATTTCCAAATGTATTTGTATTTTGAATTAGTTTACCAGTGTTGTTGATTATGTGCCATCAAGCCAGTGTCAACTCTTAGCAACCATATACATTTTCTTCATGTACCAATGTTCTATTATCTTATTTTTTGTCAGTAATTTTAATAGCCACCTAATAACAGGTTCCTGTCAATGTCATTTTGTTTCCTGGAAGTGTATTCTTTAGCAAAGTGCTTCTACAAATGCAGTGAGTAATTTTAAAATAGGAAGCAAACGCTTTAGCATTTTCTGTATTGTATGTCGCTTTTTTTAAATACATGACTCTGCAGCAATATTATTTCCCAGTTGTAGTGATGTTACTTTCCCCGCTGATAAGGTATGCTGCCCATTTTATGTAACTTGATTCCACGGGTATTACTTTAATCCCACCAGCACTGCCTCAGAGCACCTCTCAACACTCATAGACACAGGGATACAAAAAGCACATGACAGCAGACAGCCTCCTTTTTCTTTTCTTTTTGCACAAAACAGAACATTTATTCAAGTGTTCTCCAGCACAAGTACATCAGCAAGGAGCCTTCCTTATTCGAGTGTTCTGAGCACAAAAGAAAAACGCAAAGGATGGGATGGAGGCGGAACGGACAGACTTTCTAACATCTGCTGCACCATTGACCTTTTAATTAGTTTATAAAACAGCTATGTCACGAGCAATACTTACACAGAGATACAACAGCCTGCCCATAGGGATGAGGAGATGGGCCTCCCCAACCCTGGCAAAGCAGAACCATACTCTGAAATGTACATTATTTATTTGTCAATAAATATAGAAGCAATCCTAAAAAAAAAAAAGCGTCTGAAAGGATGGGGCATCCCAAAATCATCCCAAAAAAATGAAAGAAAAACACGGAAGGGCTGGGAGAATGGAACTGAAAAAGGAAAGGAAGGACATCTGGGTTGAGCTGCATGGAATGTCAGATGGGAGGCGGCTGGAGAGCAGGGAACAGGGCTGAGCTCTTCCCAGGATCTCAACACAGTTTATTCTTCAGCATGAATACATGTTTTTTTCACAAACAGTAAAGCGTCTCAGCTACTTCAATGTCTAAGCTAAAACACATGAAATCTTTTCCTTTAGGTTTCAAGTACAAAGTTAAAATGCCTTTTTTTTATAATAATATATAAGAGTAAAATAATAGAGCTCTTTTAAACTTCACTACAAGAAAAACAAAACAGTCATTGTCCAGACAGCAGACTTAAGTTAATAGAGATCTGTAATAAAACTGTTTAGCACCTTGGTTGTTACCTTGTCCCTCTGCAAATGCCAAAGGAATTCAGGCAATGGAGGCAGGGGGTCTGGTTGCTTTGCTTTTCAGTCTAGGGCTGTGCAACCTTGACAAAAGGTTCTTTATAAAAAGATCTGAGTCACATCAGTTTGTAAACTCAGTCTCCCCTCTTGCTCCCCACCACATAGGGAAAACAGCTGGATTCTGTGGTGGACAGTGAAACAGGCCCAAGGCAAATACATCCGGAAAGTTTGAAAGACAAACACAAATAAAGGCTTCCCAAGAGGCCACTTCCAGTTTGGGGACAGAACTGGATGGGCACAAATGTGGCCCTGCTTGAAGAGAGGTTGGACTGTTCAGAACTACTAAAGTCCACTGGCAGTGCCAGGAATACACTGAGGATCCAGCTAAGCTGTCAGCTACTGGAACTGACATTAGGAATTATGTGGCCAGCCCCGTGTCTAAACCGAATATGCTGAAAGGAAGACTTTGGGGAGAAAAGGATGTAACTACTAAAGGTATACCTTGCCCCCCCAAATAAATTCTTCTCTGAAGCATACAATTGGAAAAAAAACCCATACCCCTTCCCACCATTTGGGGAGATACCTGGAACCTCCTCTCCTTCAACCAGCCCTTTGGCTCAGATTACTTTGGCTGGAAATCAGCCAAGGACAAACTCATAGGAAGCTGCTTTATTCTGAATTATACCATAGATCCCTTAACCTAGTACTGTCAACCCTGAGTGAGAGGATCTCTACAAGGTTTCAGGCAGGAGTTTTTCCAGCACCACTTGGAAATGCCCGGGTTTGAATTTTAAGATCTTCTACGTGGAAAAGATGTACATCATTGAGCTACAGTCTCTTCCGATAAATACTTCCCATTTAGCACCAGTGAAACTAGACTACAAGAAACCCAGAGGGAATCTCTCCCCCTAGCTTTGTGGCAAATGGGTTGGGAAGAAAGGCTTGGAAATCCTGTAAGGAAAACCTCCCATTGAAGAATTTAGCAGAGACAGGCAGTCACTGAACCAATGACCAAGGGGGTCAGAGGAAGAATGGAGTGTGAAGGAGACTGCCTATCATGGAGGCAACAGGTGGGAGGGCGTATCTTACCAGACAGCCCCATCCGAAGTAACCACCGTTCTCCCTTCCCCATTCGGCCCTGAGCAAGACCCCAGCACCCTTCACAGTTTGAAGGAAAGTGAGCAGAGGCACCTACCTGCCACCCTAACTCCCCCAAATTTTAGCACCAAGACCAACAGCCTTCAACAGAGACCTTCCTTGTCTGCTGCAACTGTTTCACCACTCAAGAGATTGCGTTGGGGAGTATCAATGAGAAGGCAGAGGGAGAACTGCTATCTTCCACAAACATTCCCACCTGCTCCTGAGTTTTGCCTCAGCATCTACTCCATTGCCTCCGAGAGCACCATGGACACAGGGAAGACAGGAGCAGAGGGGAGATGCTGTCCCCTGTGGAGGCACAAATGGAAAAGCTGCTGAGGCAAAAGCTGGTTGTGGAGGAGTAGGGAAGAGAAATCCTCATTAGCACCAAGAACTTTGGACCCTGTTGGGATCAGTCTCTGCAAGCAGAAGGGAGAAGCAGCCTCAAGTCCGTGCACTGAGGATTGACCAGAGCCCAGTGGCCATCCCTTATACATTGTGCATCACAGACTCATGGTGAAGGTCATTTATCCCCTTGCCCCAAAGAGTAAAGTGCACACAATTACCAAGATATACTCCAGGAAATTTGACTCCTAAGCCAGACCTTGCACACGAGAGTTCATCAGGTCCTGGAGAAACTCTCTTCACAGAGAACTGCCCACCTTTATTTTTGCCCCTCTGAACCCTCAACATGTGTGTGTGGGGGGGGAGGGGAGGAGAAAGGTAGCACAGCCAGAGTCTGATCAAGCAAAACAGGAAGTCTATAATAATCCATGTCAGCCACAAATAGAAGGAAGGAGGGGGAGAAGGCAGCAGATGCTGACCTCCAAACACACAAAATCACAAAGGAATGGGGCAGAAGGGTTACTGCAGCGCAGGATGGCAGGGGCTCCTCTCTCTTTCTCTCTACCTCCCTATCCCCGTAATTATTCTGCAGCTGAATTTATGTTTTAAGGGGCAAACTTGGAGAAAAGGAGCAGAACCAAAAGATCTGATCAGGAACCTTACAGCCAGTGAGTTCAGAGATGACCAAAACAAGCACTGCTGGTCCTTGGGTGCTCTCTGCCGCCTGGTCTGGCAGCCCAGGTTGGTTTCGGGGAGAGCCCAGGAGGACCCCAGACGCCAATTTCAATAAAGCACCACTAACGTTAGGGCCCCTGCCTGGAGCTCTGCAGGGGGTAGATGAGCCCCATCTAGCAAGGCCCAAGCCCCTGGCCTGAGGGAGGTTTGCCTTTTCAGGAAGAAAAGTATTATTGCATGCCACCCGGGGCGGAGAATGGTGCCCGTCAGCCTTCTCTCCCTTATAAGATGGGGCTGCAATCAGTTGGAAAAGCTCCCCCCACCATTCCTGCGGGCTAGCATGTGAAGCACCACGGAAGCTGCCTTCAGCCCCACCCTCTGTGGTTGTAGAAGCACCATTTTGAAAGTCAGTTGTACAGTAGTAACAGTACCTTTTATATATATATAGATATTTCTCTCACATAACTCTCACATATATATAAACTGTAAACAAGAGGTAAGAGCGGCTGTAGGAGCAGGGTGTATCAAGGTCTCCTGTGTGATAGGCACCCAAATACTCTAGTGTGTGGCTTGGGGGGACCAGGTAGGACTGGTAGTTTCCCAGCTTGCGCTCGCCCCAGTAATGGCGCTGATAGACGCAAGGAGGTCCCGTTGCACCTCATTTTGTGCTCCTAAACTGAGCTTGGGCAATAAAGCCCCAAGGCCCATTTCAGCTTTGGGCTTGGCTGGAATTTTCTCTTTTGCGGTGCGTCAGTGGACAGCCCGCATTGCTGGGGGCTCAGCCGAGGAGCGGCAGAAACCAAACTAAGAGGCAAACCCATCCAGAAAGAGCAGGAAATTAAAGGATTACCAACAGAAAGTGGGATTGGTTGGTTTGATTGGGGCATTTCAAATTAGGGAGAGGATGGGTGAAGATTTGGGTGATGGGAGCTGCATATGTATGCGGGCTGTCCTCTCCCACCCTCTCACCCACCAGCCATTTCCTCCATTCTGGTGCCACTTCTCTTCTGTTCCTGGGGGTGGTTGTGTTTGAGACTCCTCCTCCGCTTTGCCAGTTTTGTGGTTACGTCTCTTTAAACACAGGCAAAGTACTCCTTTAAGGGGGCGAAGAGATGGCGGATCACTGGCACGCTCCAAGAACGACCCAGCAGTCTCTGCCTTGCCAGGCGGCTCATGTTGGACACATCCGTGTAGTGGACCGGAAAGCCAAAGACTCTGTAAGCACAGGATGCCAATTTAATGCTAAGACCCTGACATAAAAAAGCCAACAAAAAGGCTGCTGCACTTGGATAAGATTTCATTTACAATTTTAATGTGTGCTATTTGGGGCTGGGGTAAAATAAATGGCTGCTATAATTGCTACTGACCAACAGGAGGTACCATGTGATTAATTTTGCCCTTACTGAGATTCACTACCCCTAGCTAGTGTCCATATGCCAGTCCTTTGAACTTAGATTAATATAAAAATGGGGCTGATGAAGCCCAGTGAAGATAAAACTAGTCCCATAGTGCAGGGGTCTCCAACCTTGGCAACTTTAAGACTTGTGGACTTCAACTCCCAGAATTCCTCAACCAGCTTGGTTGAAGTCCACAAGTCTTAAAGTTGCTAAGGTTGAGGACCCCTACCACAGTGCCTTCTACTGGGCAATAGCAAAAACAGCATTTGTTAAAATATAGAAACCCTCTCTTAAGGGAGGTCTTGAAGCTTCTAATACAGGGGGTTCTCAACCTTGGCAACTTTAAGACTTGTGGACTTCAATTCCCAGAATTCCTCAGCCAGCAAAGCTGGCTGAGGAATTCTGGGAATTGAAATCCACAAGTTTTAAAGTTGCCAAGGTTGAGAACCCCTGTTCTAATATGAGGCCCAAATAGCTCCCTCTGGTGAAAGGCCCAATAGCTATCAAGTCTGAGAACTCTGCAACACATAAAAACAAATTGTATTGTGCCAATGGGAAAAGGAGAAAAATAGACTGTGTGGCAAGGGAGGCCTTTCTAAGGGCGAGTGGAATGTTTATAGCCAAGCATATAACCAGGCCACAACTAAGCCACATGGGGGACAGGCTCCACAGAAAGGTTATGAGCTGCAAGTTCTTCAGCTCATTCTTGAAAGAAGGCAAGCCCAGCCTCCCACACCATTCCCACCTCTCCATCTCGGTGCACCAGAGGATGTCTTCCTTCTCATTCATAAAGACAGGGAAATGCTGGTCCTTGCCTTGCTTGATGGAGTTGGAACGTGTGGTGATGGTTCGTACTTTGCTGAACTACATTGGGAAGACAATATATACAAACAAAAAGTGATTATCAGCAGGTATTCATACCACCCATCATAAAGCTACTTCTGAGCTAATTCTTTACATTAGCCTTACATTGGCTTGTGGCAGGTCTCTGTGCTATTTCCACTAACTTCTATCGATGTGATGATTATCTCTTCCTAGCTTTAATTTCTGGATAGTATGAAAACGATGATAAAACCATGCCTCTCTAAGCTATTGCCAATCAATGGCGGGTTCTCTTTTCTCTCTTTGCCTTTTGAGCTATGAGAAGATGCTCTGTTTGATGTTTTCTTTCCAAACTCTTCCATGAAGACTTGTACATCCAAATTCATTTTGGTTTCTCATGCTCACCTTAGCTATCCGGCCATGTTCCAGGCACTCTTGCAATTCCAACTTATCATTCACAGTTGAAGCCAGAGGCCTGTAGGAAAACCAGGGTTCACATAATTAGCTCTTAGGAATCTCAACTCTTTTCGCTACTCTCCCTAAAAGCTCTCTTTTAAAGTATTTGTACAATAAACAGAAAGGGTTATTTTGGATTATTACTATTTTATGAATTAGGACTATTTTATTGAATTAAGAAATATTTTTCTCAAGCTGAATAAAAATGGACAAATAGTTTTGTTGAGGCCAAGAAAGTTCTTAAAATTGTCTGACCTTTTTTCCCCAGTCTAGAATAATCACACACAAACACAAAAACAGACTCCATTGTTTCACAAAAGAAACATCACAGTGGCAATCCCAAACTAGATTCTTGTCTCACAAATAAGCAACAACAAATTGCTCCACTAACCCCAGGATATGTCAAAATTACTTCTTAGCAATTTCCTTAATTTAAAAATTATGGATATAAATGGATATTTATGAAAATATTTTAGCTTGTCTTTAGCACCACTCATAACCTCAGCAAATAAAGACCCTGAGACATGTTTTCTCAATGGTGCTCCCCATGCTAAGGATCATGTTCCTATGCTTTTTACTTTGTAAAAACTCTTGCTACTGTTGTTACTATAGCTTTTCTCTTTTCAAAAAAAGGACATACTTTCTTCCTTCTTGTTCCTCAACCCTTGAATTTCCTTCCTTGCTTTACCCATTGTTATTCCATTACTTCTTTCCCTAGCACTGAAGAGATTATTTCAGATGGAGCTCATTACTGACTTTTACCTAACAAGTATACTTGTTTGCAAATCTTCCTGTTTACATTCAATTACATTCAAGCTGTCTCAATAAGTAGACTGAATAATTGTATTTAGCTATGACCCTGATTGCTGTTAATAGCTCAATCTCTTGACCATTAAAGTCTCTTTGGAAAGCTTCCTGTTTCCATTGTCCTTTTGACTGAAATTTACATATGTATAAGAAATGTATAAAAACCTGTACCAGTAGCTGGAGGGAGTATTGTGATTGTGCCATCATTTCTGACTCCTGGTTAGGGTTAGAATTAGGATGGACTAGAGTAAAGGTTAGGATTGACCACATTGCTATCTCTATGAAAATTTATCATGGGGTAATGAATCAAGCTGTAGAGAAATGCAATACTTTTCTCAGTTCCCAAATTGCAATGTATCATTCCTTTTCCCTGCTGCAAATTTCCTTAATGCCCCCAAGACACAGGATCTAGCTTGCCTTTCACAAGGCAGCAGAAGCAATCCCTTGGTGATAAGCTCTCAATGTAGATAATCGATCTGGCCCTATCTTCATAAATTGTCATTTACACTTTAGCGTTTTTACTTGTGCTGTATCAAAAGTACCCTGAATTGGTCAAAATATGACAGCATACCCACAACACCCATATAACATATACATTTGCTAAATAAGTAAATAAAAATAAATAAGTGATGCTGATAAAATATTTGTTCAAACCTACAGAATTGTTAGTAAAATATACTGAAGGTGATTTGAGGTTTGAGAAATCACAACAAAAACAGCGATCTCACCTAGTTGGGTACTGAAAGTTTGCAAGCAAACAACCAAAGTCAGAAAACACCAAGAACTCCACAGTTCAATCCTGACCTACAGATATTCTCTTTTATTGAAAATAATAAAACCATAGAAGAATCAAATTCATGCAAATATAGACACCAGATTAATATTTCTCAACCTTATTTATTTTTATTTTTAAAATTTATTTGCCACTCATCTCACCACAAGGTGACCAACCTTGGCAGCTGGCTGGGGAATTCTGGGACTTGAAGTCCACACATCTTAAAGCTATTTAATAGATATGACAAGGGTAATCAGAGAATCCAGCCAAGCAATTCTTCACATACAAAAGCATCAACAGTTGAATAGGTTCATACTTTAACAAAACAGCGACTCATCTAACGGTAGTTGATGCCTGTGTGGGAATAGTTTATGTTTATAACTTACCTGTTCATGCCAGGCAGGTTTCCCCAGAAGTACCGGGCTCTGTGGGCTGCAGAGACTTCTTTGGCATCGATCATCACTGGATTGGACTGTAAGAAGGAGACAGGTGAGGAAAGTCACACTAAAGGGTATCAAAATGAGGCTACTTCTTGAAGTTTGCAACAGGTGATTTGCAGGCTTCTTCAGGCCATCTGACCCTTTCCAAGATTTTCCCTGTTCCCCCCATTCTGTTACTTCCGTCACAATCCTGGCCATTCTGGTTCCTTACAATCAGGGCTACCACTATGTATCATCTCATGTATGCATATATACTGGGGTAGACAGGAATTCTTTTTTAAAAATCCCAGAAGATGCTACTGGCTTCTATACTGTTCTCTATACTGTTCTAAGAAAACAACATGAATTTGTACATGTAGTCATCAAGTATTAAGCTTGTATAAATGGGCAACTTATGTTATTGTATCTGAGTAACAGCTTTAATCTCAGTCCACCCCAAATCCAAGGACCATAAAGTTAGGGCTGAATTATTTGGAGGGTGAATAACCAAGCTTACTCTGTAAAATATGAGGTGTTATATTCTCTTGAGGATGGCTTGAAAGGCCTCCCACGCTGCTGTGCCATGTATGCGTATGATCAAAATATGGGGTAATGGCAAAGCAGCAAGCAGTTTCATGCCAGAAGCAATTGCTGGAAGTACTTTCTCTGCGTGTCCATTCATTATTCTCCAATGAGATCACACAGTCCTGAACAATATGGGCTATGAATAGCATGGAGCTTTGTCAGCTGGGCCCATAAAACATAGAATGAATTATGTATTTTGATTCAGTCTTTACACAAGATAATGTGGTTTTAACTTTCTTCATTAATTTAAAAATGTAACTTTTCTAACCATTTCCCTTTCCTCTTTATCTAGTCAGGCTAGAGTCTCCCTGCAAAGTCCATAATTTTCTCCAGTGGCAGGAAGGACTGTCTAGACCTGGGAGATAAGATGGCAGTAATACAGATCTTGCCAGGAAGTGAGAGGGTGGCTAAAAGGTGATGCTGCTTTGCCTAAAAAACCCATCCCATCTTTTTGGCCATGGTCCCATTCCCCCCACCCCACTTGGCAAGCAAGACTTGCTCTTCTACCCAGAAATATTCCAAGACTGGCTACGGGGAAAGCCCCTCACCTCACCTCACCTCTAGGAAGCGAGAGATGTCCCTTTTGTCACTGACGCCCATGGCCACCACATTTTCAAACAGCCAGAAGAAAGGTCGGTCATCTCCCTCCTTGGGTCTGGCCTCATGAAGGAGACGATAGAATTCAAAGAAGAGTCGCCCTGTGCCCTCTGGGTTAGGAAAGCAAAGGCAGGGAAAGGTGGATTCTCTCGAAAGGAACTGAGAGACGCAGGCCAACAGTTTCCCTCTCCATAACCATTAAAAATCTGACTTATAGAACCTAGAGACTTTTTAAAGTGCTGAAGAGGATCTATCTCCTTCAGATATGACAATATAAAGTAAAAGTAAAAGCAGTGCTCTGATCATAGGTTTAACTTGATTTCTCAAGTTGTGTGTTATTCAATTACATCAATTTCTCTTTACACTGCAAAGATGCATTCTGAAGCTCAAGATTTTTATCTCCGTGGTTAACTGGCCTCTTTTGAAATACTGTTTGTTTAATCTCATAGATTAGTCACTAATACCAGTTTTGCAGTCCTATTAGATTTCTTATAAGTACTCAATGTGCTAAGGAGCAACATGCACATGGATTTCTTTTCCAATCCTCAGGGTATCTGAGATAGTAATACGGGAGAGAAATATATTTTAATTTCCATGTGCTGGCAAACTATATTTCCCATTAATTGCAATCAATATGACTATAAACAAAGGATGTTGTGAATTAGTTAACTGGTTTCTGAAGGACTATAGTTCCTTACCTCTGGATCGACTGCTTTAAAACAACATGTCCTGGATAAACCACAGAAGAGATGGTAGCACTTACCATAAAGACCTTTCCTGGCAGGATTAACAATGGAGAGGTCATTGCAGGGGCTCCCTCCAATCACTAAGTCAAAGGGGCCCCATTCCTGAATCTGTAACATATGGAGATTTAATAGTCAGATGCAGGAGGAGGATGCATCTGGGGCTGTGCTAGCCTCAGTTACACAAGCCAAAGGAAGCCTCCCCATCAAAGCTCCACGTACATGTTTCTGAGTGACACTGCGGACGTCCCCAACATACATGATCTTGCCCTGATGTCGGACCATCCCAACTGTGATAGAATCTTCACACACCTCAGATGCTATGTATCGATCCACCTGGATGCCCAAATCCTTTAGCACAAGGAGTCCTGGAAAATGAAAACCATGATGTTACTATCGCTCCCATGTGGCGTTCACGCTACCACTCCTTTTCTGATATTAGGAGGGTCAGAACTCACCTGTGGCAATGCCATCAAAAAGTGACAGCACCCGAATGGGCTTTCTTTTTTCAGCATTGACTGGAGGGTAAACCTTTGGTGGATCCTGCAAAAAGCAAAGTGGCAGCGTGAAACGGTTAGAGTGTAAACTGTGGCAACTGTCACCACAGGGAGGCAACAGAAGGCTCCCAAATTTCTCAAAGAGTTGATGCTCAACAGCAGTCCTAGACTTAAAGCCACTGGCTGACAGGTTCAGGCAGCTAATACACTAGGGGGCTGCAAGCAACAAGAGAAACCTGAGAATACTTGCAGATTTCTCTTGCCTTCTGAGTTCTCCTGATATCAAAAGTTTCTCTTTGTCCCCGTCCCCGCCCCCACTCCATGCTGAACTCACAAACTCTTGATCATGATTGTTGGCAAAAAACATCTGAAGGCGTGAGGGCCAGTCTTCTCGTCGCCGGAGCAGGCCATAGATGCCCTTTTGGCCACACATGTAGCAGTTCCAGGGATCCTCCTTGATAGCTGCCTGAGCAGCCCCAGGACCCACCAATAAGTCCACACATTCTACACAAAAGCATCTGCAAACCAAAATAATTAATGCTAAGTGTGGAATGTGCTCAGCTCGGGATTCAACAGACAAACAACGGCTTTGATTTAGGCAGTCTGGGCCCTTCTGGAATTCCAGCATATTCTCTTGGTGCCAGAATCACCCAGGCTTTGATTGGCTGAAAATGCTAAAAAGTCAAGCTGAGCATACTTCTAGTCAAACCACTTCATTCCAAATACATTTTCCCAATCCCTTGTTCTTAAGCCTGCCTTTAAACTGTCTTGATCCCAGTTTTCTTTTCCTTTCCTAGGTTGTAGTTTAGGGGGACAAATCTTTCTAAACCACCACTTGATTCACCTGCAACAGTTGTTGTTCCCACACATCAGGACTTCACGGCCACCACAGCAGATGGTGCAATATGATTGATAGCCATCGTCATCATACTGATAGGCGCATTCCAAAAAGCAGTTCTAAGAAAACAAAGGTGAGGAATATTTCTTATAAGCTCCATAGGCCCGAGAAATTAGTTTCTCCCATCATAAAAGTATTTTATAACACACTAACCACAAGTGTTTTTTAAATCTTATCTTACACATATAGAACAAAAAGCAATACAGTAGATGTTGCTATCAGAAATCCATAGTGGAGGCAGATTTGATACTTGCTCTGAGAAAAAAATATGTAACCATCAGACAAGGGCTAATCACAAAGCTGTTAATTGCTATGATCCGCTTTTGTCTGACTGGATTATAATGTCCTCCAAGGAGGAAAGTATTTGAAACATGACAGGAATTTGGGGGAATTTAAATTTTTTCCAGTAAGGGGTTTTCTTTCCTTTGGCCTTGATTGCCTTTGTTCTTTTGTAGTTCTATAGTCTCTGTATTTCACGAGTTGACTGCCCCACCAGTCCCGAAGTCACCCTTCCATCTCTGTCCTTTCTCCACTTCCAGGTTGCTTCTGTGTCCCGTATGTTCCTACCTTGCAGTTTTGGCACATTCCTCCAATGAAGAGAGGGTGTTCCAGGGTGACATTCAGGCTTCCGCAGGAAATGCAGATATCTGAGAAGTGGTGTGATTGGCAGAGTGAGGAAAGAAAGGAGACACATTACCCTGGGCTAGTAAGTGAGAAAGATACCTCTCTCTCCATCCCCCGATTCAATGGCAGCATTCTCCTCTTTCAAAACCACACACTGCAATAGACTCACTGAGCATGGATCATCCTGGTCATTTCCATTAGACAGATGTGATCCATAAAAGGCCTTCCCTATGCTCAACTGTGAAAGTCCTGGGCTGCTTTTTGATTTTGTTATTAATGACTTTATTTGTGATATGTTTCAAGCATGCCCAGAGTCTACAACTCTATCCATTTACCAACTGCTGAACTGCAGCTGTGTTGATCACCTTGAATTCTGGACAAAAATGCTTGCAGCAGAGTAGGGATTGGTTGTCATGCCTTATACATACTTTAAGATGGGGAAGGGCAAAGAATGTATTTGCTTAACCTCACCTTCAATATTCCTGCATTTCTGTCGAACCTCATAAACAAGACGTTCTAAAACAGCAAAATAATTTGTTAAAATAGGCCAGTGATGGCGAACCTTTTAGAGACTCCCAAACCACAACCCAAAACCCACTTATTTATCACAAAGTGCCAGGGCTGCAACAGCACTGTGGTGCCCTCAGGGGGGTGGGCGTGCCCACTGGGTGGGCGTGGCTGCAGTGGTCATGGCAGACTGAGTGGGCGTGGCCGAGGTGGGCATGGCCACCTGGATGTTGCTCGTGGGGGATGCCTGTGGGGGCTGGGCAGGATTGGGGCAGATCCAGGGGGTCTCTGGTGGATGGGGTGGTGGGCAGGAGGCTTGTCCTGCAGGGTGAGGCAGGGGGTAGGGCGGGGGTGCCATTGCTGCAGGGCAAGGCGAGGCAGGGGCGGCTGTTGCTGACACCATCAGTCCCCGCACACAGAGGCCAGCGAGCACATGGGAGCGCGCTCTACCACCTCTACTCAAGCTTGCTAGCCAGCTGCTTCGCCTTTGTGCTGGGTGGGGCTGCCACTCCGGGCACCAGCGGTGGCCTAATGGACCTCTGCGAGCTGGCAGCAGCGGCGGCAGGTGTACCCACAGAGAGGGCTCTGAGTGCCGCCTCTGGCATGCGTGCCATAGGTTCACCATCACTGAAATAGGCAATCAAGAAATGCCACAGGATCAATACATATAGTTGAAATTGAGGGCAACTAGACAGGCTTAATCTGTGTCCATGAATCAAAGCCTTAACTTAGCATTTGTTGCAGAAAAATGCTGGTGATGCAATATGCTGATTTTGGACCTAAGGAATTACATGAATTCCAATTAGAACAAGTTCTAATATTAAAGATGAAAAAAGAGAAGGCAGTTTAGTTCACATCAATAAGCTTAACTAGGCATAACTGATGTAATCATGTAACATTTGTACTAGGTTAGTGTTAACTTTTTTGTGCCTTGTTACATGAATCTTGCCAGTATAATTAACTTATGGTTCTATGTCCTGTATAGCCTTGATAATAAATCTGTTATCACATTAAGTGTGTTGGGTGAACAATGCAAATATTTTCTTCTGTTTATTAATATTAACTTACAGAGTCCAGTTCCGGAACTAGCGAAAACAAGTAAAATATTGCCTTTGTATTAGAGAACTAGACTAAATGTATTCTTTTTCTGGTTCCATCCATTTTTAAGAGTTACCCTTTTTCTGGATTTTATTTTTCTTATAAAGGCCTGTTACTGCTTGTTTATTATAGTCTGGAAGCAGACTTCCAGAAAATCTCTGCATTGCTATCTAATCGTGATGGGATGGTGGCAGAATTTCCCCCTTCTCTTTCACCTTCCACTATCGAAGTTCTCAAGTTAGAGAATGGAGGACGAGTTCTTTGAGCTTTGGAATGGGTTTTTATGATAATTTAATGAAAGATAGGAAAAGAGAAGCAAACAGGTGAGCTGCAATATGGGGAAAGAAGGTGAAATTAAAAGACTGGGGCATGGGAGAAAAGACCAACTGTCCAGATAAGAATGCCATGCACTGCTCCTCCCCCCAAAATGGATGAACACGAGGAAGCCCTATATCTTGCTTTATGTGAAGTGTGGATTTGTTGAAGACAAAAACTGGAATTTTTTAATATTTCCAATTTTGCCTTTTCTGCAGTGGGAGGAAACTATAGCATGCCCTAATGGTCCCACAAACAGCAGTAAGGTAGGGCATTGAGAGGTAGGAGTACGTAGTGGTTTTGACTGTCTACCCTCAGATATAGCTTGGAATTGGAAAAAAAGATAAACAAGTGGAGATTAGCTGGGATAGCCAACAACCTCCAAGCTACCCATTCCATTCTATCCCAGGTATACCTCGAGTGCGCTCATCTATGATTTCCTTGACCTTAGGCTTTTCAGCTGTGCTTTTCCTTGGTTTTTTGGCTGGTGGAGGAGGGGCATAGGCAGCAGCTTCTGGTTCCCCCCACATGTCCATGTAAACTTCTTTGTAGGGGTTGCGTTCCTCTGAGATGGCAGAAAAAAGTACATCAGTGGGCAGCAAGATAAGCAGGGTGGGAAATCAAGCTTTGATTCTTTTGATTTGGAGGCTTGTCTGTCATCAGACTTTGTGATACATGCCAGTGTGCTAACCTCCAAGAGTTATTTATCTGATTGTTCTTGTCCTGTGGAATCCTGCTATCAGAAGACAGGACTCTACCACACCCAGAGACAAACTGGCCAAATCCGCCTGTTATCCCAGCTCCATCCTAGAATAAGGGGCTTTGGGAGCTGTGATAATTTAGCTCCATTTCTTTACCTTCAGGAGGCTCCAATCCCTTTGGGCCAGATGGCTGGAACCCTCCTAAGGCCCATTCAATCATCTGTTTGTTCTGGATTTCCACAACTTTGGATGTGTCTGTTTCATCGTTCTCTGGACAGGATGGAAAAATCTTGCCTGATCTGCTGCTGGCCACCTAGAGGGGAGACAGACGGGCAGAAGGGCCAACTGATTCTGGAATGAATGGTGTTCAGCTTGTAGATGTCTTTCCCAAGCTTCATAATTTATTTTATTGTATTTGCATCCTACTTTTTCTCTCAGAGTAAAGGTCACGTCCATAGAATCCTCTTTAATTTAATCCCCATAACAGATAGATAGGTTCAGATAGGTTAAGCTGGTCATCCCTGAATTCCATGATCAAAATGGAACTTGAGTTTGGTTTCCTGTTCCTGGTTCAAGACCTTAACCACTATATTACACAAACAAAAATGATGTTCCCCAATCTCAACATATTTCTTACATTCTTTTGAATCCGTGAATCCGTCCAAGACCATACAGGAGGAAGCTATTTGCCCAAAAGCCAGATTGTTCATGTTTCCCAAACACTGTTGAGTTTCTACCCCCCTTCTCTTCTCATTTTTATTGCCTTCTCTTTTAATGCAAAGCTTTGCTTGCTTCCATGAACTATCTCAAATTATTGAACGGCACATGTTGCATAAGGATACAATGAGCAATGAAAAGATATTCCTTTTTCATTCTCTCGGATAGCCAATCTGAGATGGGACAGATGGACAATTTTGAAGATTATTTCTGTCCATCTATGAGCAGTCCATCTTATGTCCTGCAGATATCCTTATTCCACCACAGAAGTTAGTCACTACAGGGAAAAGACTGCCAGGGATACAAGTCCCAGAGGAATGACAAAGGTAGTGCTTACCTGCAGTACTTCATAGATGGCCTTTCGATACATGGGCTGCTTGTTATATGTGGGCTGGTGAAAGGCGCTAGCAAAGGAGCTGAGTGGAAGGAGTTTCTCCACACAGACCTGCCAGAACAAAGAGATGAGGAAAATGATACCAACTTGTTTCTTCCCTATGAATAGCATGAGACTCTAAGGCTGGTTCCTCCACGGCCTCACAGAAGGCTCTAGAGCAGGCAGAGGCAACCTTGGCTCTTTTATGACTCATGGACTTCATCTCCCAGCATGGCTGGCTCAGGAATTCTGGAAGATGAAGTCCACAAGATGAAGTCCTGCTCTAGAGTGAAGTGGGAAACAGAATGGAGGATTGCGCAACACATTACTTTCCTTTTTAAAGTTTTTTTTTTTTCCAAAATGCTTTGCAGTGGTGGATTTAAGGAGTAGGATGGGTCTCACAAAATATGTACTGCATATACTTAATGCAGTTATTTCATCCATCCTGAACCCGTCAAGCACAGATATTATTCCCAATATTGCAGTCTTTTTTCCCTGCCGGTCACACCAGACACAGTCAGATATGTCAAATGAATATTTCTCTCACACATGTAAGGAAAAGGCAGGTTTACCCCAACTCCTCCCTCTTCAGGAAGAAGCAGCTTTTGAGAGATTGCAGGCAGTTCTCTTAGGAAAGGAAAAGAAGACAGAGGAGGCAGATATAAAAGAGAAAACTGGGACCATTCTCCTTCAGCAGATTTAAATTTAAAATTTCTACAAAAATCAAGAAGTTTAAATACACTGAATCGGAAGGAGAAAAATCTGATTCAATGCTCTGTTTCTCTTTAAATCTTTGATTAGAACTGTGCTAAGCTTAATCTTTGTTTACACATTGTGTAATTACTGTATATTTATTTTCTTCACATAATGTAGGAGTATTAAATTTCTGTCTTCAGGGCATCTGTGTTGTTGAGCTCTTAAAATTAGTTTTAAGTTTGTCGCATCCTGTGATTGGCCATAAGTATTATATCAGAGGTGGCGCAGCAGTTAGAGTGCAGTACTGCAGGCCACTTTAGCTGACTGTGTTCAGCAGGTCAACGGTTCAAATCTCACCGGCTCAAGGTTGACTCGGCCTTCCATCCTTCCGGGGTAGGTAAAATGAGGACCCAGATTGTTGGGGGCAATGTAAATATATATATATACATTTCTTACTGGTGTACACCGCTTAGAGAGTGCTTGCACTTAAAGCGGTATATAAGTCTCATAAATAAATAAATAAATAAATTTACTTTATATTTTCTGTTGGATCCTTTTTTTAATTCCATTGATTTGCAGTTGTTGGATTTCCGGATCAGAACAGAATTATACTTTATTTTTTCCAGTACAGATTATTTCCCACACCTTTTCAACTCAATGGAAATTTGACCTTTCTCTCCCTGGCTAGGGAGATATTTATTCAATATTTACATAATGGTTTTCACTAGTCTGATACTGATTCTTAATTCACAAGCTTGAGAAGATTGGGAATTCAACTGGGTTAATGGGATATCCTATAACAGGGCAGCAGAGAAGCAGAGAAGGGAAGAAAGGGAAGGCAAGTTTGAGAGGACAGATTAGACTGATGGGATAACTCACTCTCGCAGTTGCTAAGAGGAGGATGGGGGTAAGTGCATTGGCCTTGCCTTACTTGGCCTCAAAATTACTTCATGGTGTCTGAAGGCTTTGTTTTGGTCAAAACCAAGAACAACAAAGTAAGTTCTAGGTTTTCTTTCTGCCAAATCATGGCTGATCCAGTAATTTAGCAAACAAGAGAACATGAGATATTTGCTTTTTGTTTGAAACAAAACATTTCTCTTTTACACACTCATAATCATTTTGTTAAACAGTTTTTCCCACCTCACAGAAACAGTGTAACATGCATTAACACATCAATAATCTGCAAAAGTACGCAAATTAATAACATTCAAAATATTTACCCTTTATTTTAAATCACTAGGATTTCAAAATAGAATTTTTTTATGGAAACGAAAAAGCTAAAGATAAACCATCTATCGGTAGTATTGATAAAAGCCAATAAGTTCCTATTTTTGTGAGTCAGGGTTTCTTATAATTGCTGCTAAAAATAGAAATATCACTACAAAATAAATGAGGAATGAAAAATGACAATGGCTGTTTTCAAAATAAAATTTAAGTGAATTGTAAAAAAAAAAAAAGAAAGCTCATTGTTACTTCCCATTAAAATACAGTTCAAATTTCATTGTTTTTTATTTCCGGTGGAAAGGTTTTCCTTATAAAGTTCTTTCATCATTTTAATCGATACATACATTAAATATAATTATTAAAAGGAAGTAATATATTTATTTCTTGCCAGTTCTAACCACAATTAAATCATGTTTTATATTTTAAGGGATTGTAGTATTGCAAAACTTGCAAATTCTTACTATACTGTAACAGTAGTATATTACTGTTTTGTGACTGTGGCACCATACATATCACAGTTTTAGAAACACCAAAAACCTTAAAAAACTGCTGATTTGAGACTCAGAAACTGGACTATACTTGTAGTTATGGAACAAAGTGCTGAATAAACAATGGCTAATTTCATACATTGTACTAAATCCTAATGTGGTTACTTTCATTCTGGCTTAGCATATTGTATTAATCCAGGAAGCACAGCTTGTAAACTAAAGCTTGTGGCACAGATAAACAACCCAAAGCCTCAGAATTGTATGCAGTCTTGAATACTCCAAGTAGAGTCCTAAGAGACTCCTTAAGTTGTTAACAGGTTGTTCTTTCCAATGTTCTAATAAACCTTGACTGATCAGGCTTCTGAATTCAGCACACTGGTTTAACCTCTGAAGCACTATGTTTCAATCTGCAGCATCACAGGTATAAGAGACTGTCCAGGGTGTGAGACCTACCTGTAAATAGGCATAAAGACATGGGGGGGCGCACTCAGTCGTGATGCCAAGGTATTATAATATCCAGCTAAAAGAAAGTCCTTTTTGCCCCAAAGGAAAACTTCTTCAGTGCGCAGTTTTATCTGCTACCTTTTAGCACAAAGATGAGCTGCTATGCTATTTTCAGCTGGATTTTAAAATGTTTTAATGTTAATTATACAAGGATTGCTTTCAGTAGTTGAAAGTTGGCATATAAATATTCGAAATAAAATAGATAAAATAATAAAGTAAGAGCACAAGGAGGACTGTGCATACGAAGAAGCAGGTTCATAAGAAAAAGCAGTCTTTTTCTCCCAGTTTGGGACCTTTTCAGAAAATCCACCTCGAGCTCAGTCACTTACCACAGAGAACTTCCCATCACCGAACCACATGACCCAGCGGGTACCTTCAGCAGCCCGGCTCCTACCAGTCATCCACCAGGAAACAATGCGGCCTGGCCACCAGGAGAATCCACGCAGTTTTCCCCACACCAGCTCCCCGATCCCAAACCCCCGGCCATCCTGCAGTTGGAAAAAAAAAAAAAAGGAAATCATTATAGTGATTAGAAAAACGGAAGGGAATCACATGTAAATACTCAGTCAACGACGGCCAGGGCTTCTGCTAAAACCCCTAATTTGGGATGGTTTTTATGAAGGCTGTGGCACAGTTATGAATCCCATGTGCATGATTCACAGAGAATATGCTGAAGAACAGATACAACATATATAAACAAGGTGAGTAAGCAATGCTTTGGAAGAAACCTGAATGTGGCTGGAAGAGAACTTAGGAAATGAGAAGGGCAAGGAGATGAGCCTTGAAAAACTTTACAGGAGGAAAAAGCCGATGGGCAGGAATTTATTTTATTTATTTATTTTTCACTTTTCTGAATCAGATATAGATAGACCACAGGTCGGCAACCTGCGGCTCTTTGAGCCTTCCCCTGTGGCTCCCAGCCTCCTCTGCCTTTGCAGAGAGAGACAGAGACAGAGAGAGGCAATTGCGCTTCCCTGCTTCTCTCTCTCTCTCTCTCTCTCTCTCTCTCTCTCTCTCTCTCTCTCTCTCTCTGTGTGTGTGTGTGTGTGTGTGTGTGTGTGTGTGTGTAAAAGAGAGTGCACTCACAGTGTTCTCTGAGGAGCTGAAAAGCTTACTGGGCGGAGCTCCTCCCTTTGCTGCGTCTCTGCAGGAAGCAGGAAGGGCAGGAGAGAGCTAGCTAGCCCAGCTAGGCTGACTCAGGAATTCTGGGAGTTGAAGTCCATGAGTCATAAAAGAGACGAGGTTTTCTACCCCTGAGCTTGTTGGACAACAGCTTGAAGCTTGCCAGGGGAGCAGCAGATAGGAGAGGGGGGAGAAAGAGAGAGAAAGAGAGAGGGAGGGAGAGAGAGAGAGAGGGAGGGAGAGAGAGAGTGTGGGGGGGGGAAGAGGAGTGGTAGACCAAGGGCAGATAGAGAGGGAGGGAGGGAGAGAGACAGAGAGAGAGAGACCCTTTTGACATCTAAAATGAAGATAGCACTGCATATATCCTTTTTTTACCTGTGTGTGTATGTAATTTTATTCTCTTAAAGCATTCTCTTGGTGATCATTGTTTTAATAGTATGGATAAGCCCAAGAGTCATATTTTTACTTTTATTTTTAATGTGTGTGTGTGTGTGTGTGTACACACACACATACATACACAAACACACACACACACACACACACACACACCCCTATAATAAAGGTAAAAAAGGATATATGCAGTGTTATCTTCATTTTATATATCAAAAGGGTTTTGCGACTCCCGGTGTTTTGTTTTTGGTGGGAAACGGGTCCAAGTGGCTCTTTGAGTGTTTTGGGTTGCCTACCCCTGAGATAGACATTCATTTGCTGACTTTTCTAACAGTGCCAAACGTTTTCTGACATTGTCACTAGCTAAGTGAAGAGATCTGACCTCATTAGCCCTCCTAAAGTTCATTCTAGTCTACAAGTAGACTGTTTCTTTACCCACTCAAATTTCAGCTATTTCCTAGATCCAGACTCTGGCCTCTTCTTTATTTGTTCTACATTTTTCCCCCTTTTCTTCACCTGTAGGCTCTTTCTCACAACCCCTATGTTAAACAAACTTCTTAAGTCTATTCTTCTCTTCCATTTTCTCGCCCTTCATCATCATTATTCATGTGTCCACTTCAGGCTCTTCCATCTATCTGCACTGCATATTCATGGCATCCAATATCTAGCTGCAGCTTCAGTGGATAAAAATCAACAGGGACAGTTTCTTCCACCAGCATGGCACTTTTGATGGGAAAGGTGGCAGTTGTTAGCCTTTCCCCCCTTTTATTCAACTAGCAGTAATACAAACACAAATGCTGTTTGGAGACAGGAAAAGGCTAACTAGGAATGCCTCAAGAATGGTGGGAAAACAATCTTCGGGGAGCAGAACTCTGTCTCTACCTCATATTCCGGCTCATCATCAGCTGACTTTGATATGCTCTTGTCTACAGCATCAGGCCCCACAGGCTCTGGGGTAGTAGCCACACTGGGAGAAGCAGGGTCAGTTGGCTGCTGTGAGGCTGGTGGGCTAGCTTCCTCCTCCTTCTGGGGCTCGCTCTGTGGTGTTTCTTCCACAGCATTCATTCCAGCAATTACCTTAGCTTTCTTTTCAGCCTGCAGAAAGAACAGAGTTAAGAGGTAGAGTTGTGAGAACGTTCTTGAAGAATTTATTTCTGAGTTAAGTTTTTTTACATTTTACTCTTGATCTCTCAATAACTGTATTGTCATAATGTGCTAAACTTGGTTACTGAATTAATCTATTTTCTGCTTTCTCACAAGTAATAAAATAATCAAAAGGATTGGCATTACACATTATATTAAGCTGCCATTAACACAAAACACATATAGCATGTTATGTAGATACAACCACACAGGTAGTCCTCAATTTACAACCATTCATTTAGTGACTGTTCAAAGTTACAATGGCACTGAAAAAAAATGACTTAGGACTGGTTTTCATACTCACGATCTTTGTAGCGACCCCATGGGCACGTATTTATAATGGTTGCAATGTCGCAGGGTCATTTTGTGACCTTCTGACAAGCAAAGTCAATGGGGCACAACTGTGTTGCTAACTTAATAACTGCAATGATTCACTTAACAACTATGGCAAAAAGGTCATAAAATGGGGCAAAATTCACTTAACTGTCTTACTTAGCAACGGAAATTTTGGGCTCAAATGTGGTCATAAGTCAAGGACTACCTGTATTAAGTATTTAAATATCTGATTATGCATGTTGTGTGAATACAGGCATAATGACAGTCATATAGGTTCACTTAGTCCCTCTAAAGTTATGGAACACTTTTTTCTAAAGCAAAGCTAGATGATTTGAACAACTGGACTGTTTTACATGTACCAGATTGTTTAGCACATGATTCTACAAAGACTCCAGAAATGAAGTACTTCATGTAAACTACCAGAGATTTAGATAAAATTTTACCATACTATAATCTGACATAATCTTTGGAACAGGAGAGAATGAATTACATTATATATTATTTTTAATTGCTTTACAATTTGTAACAGTCTGCCCAGCCCTCATATCTTCCATATGTCATGTTTCTACCACATGCTTGGCAAGCTTTATTTTTTTTTTTTTTTTAAAAAAATGTAACAGTTGATTTTACACAATGAAAATGTGTTGAGGATGTTGTGGGAATCCAGCCTATATTTTATTGCAGGCTGAGGAATTCTGGGAGTTGAAATTAATCTGTATTAAAGTTGCCAAGTGTGAAAAACATTGGGCTAAAAAGATAACAAGTGCTGCATTCAAATGCCTTTGGGGAGCATCAATTTAAGGAAGTCTAAATCATCTTGCATTTGTCTTCACAAAAATCAGAATGAAATCATTTGTATTCCCACAGTAAGGGGGCTGTGGTGGTAGAAGGGAGTGCTGGCTGTTTCCTGTCTGTGGCAGGAAATGAGAAACTTCAATCTATGGCTGCCAGGGTGGGGTCAGCTTGCCCCACCGGGACAATCCCACATTCCATAACAGAGCAGTATAAGACAGACAAAAGAGAAAAAACACTAAAAACAGAAGAAAATTAGGGAGGACAATTCTTCTATGAAAAAATAAAAATATGTCTTACAGTGTAGGAAAACACTCTATTTAGTGAACTACACTGCTTTATAACCATAAAATATGTAGTCAGTTGCCTTTTCTCTGTTAGGAACATAATTGTGTGAGGGTGAAGGTTTGTTCTCCGAGCTTGTGGGTTGGTTTCTGAACGTTTTGTTACCAGGCTAGGTAACATCTTCAGCAGCTTTACCTAGCCTGGTAATGAAACGTTCAGAATCAACCCACAAGCTCAGAGAACGAACCTTCACATCCTACACCCAAGCTACAGATATTCAGTACTACTGCAAACATATTTGTGTTTCTATGAGAATGAAGGAGCTATCAATATTTTCTGGAATAGATGAAGCAAGAATTATAATATTTGGGCAGTCAGAGAGTACACTTAGCAATTTTCAGTTGGTTCAAATACCACAGTAGATGGAGGAAAGTGCAATATAGTCTAGTACAGTGGTTCTCAACCTTTCTAATGCCGCGACCCCATAATACAGTTCCCCATGTTGTGGTGACCCCCAACCACTTATACATCACCGGGTGCCAGGGGTGTGGCCAAAGAAAAGGGGGAAAAAATGGCGGACAGCCTTGTTTGGCGACCCCCGTGAAATGGTCGTTCGACCTCAAATGGGGTCCCGACCCACAGGTTGAGAACCACTGGTCTAGTATGTTGCACACCTGGCAAAACTACAATTACAGTAGAGAGTATTGGTTAATTAGGTTTTTTTTTTCTTTTTTGCTGTACCATCTGTTGTGCTAGGCCTCTCATGGCAGCATACAACAAGAAAACACGGTTTGTCCAATTTCAAATAAGGCAAATAAAATATAAATATATTAAAACCTATAAAACAAACCAGAAGCAAGAAAAGCACAGAGGAGCATCAGGCTACAATATTATACATTAAGCAGGTTAAAAAAACATTCAGAATGTATTTAAGCTGCATTAAGCATATTTTATGGTTATGGTACAGTTTTCTTGATTTCCTGCCTCAAAACAACAGGAAACTGATGATTTTCAGCAAAGATGAAATTTAACAGCATAATCTGCATAGTCTCTGAAGGCTGCAAAAAAATGTTTGAGATCACAGGATGTCTTGATGCAGGGCTAAAGTGTCACATTAAATCCAAGCTGGGCAACCAGAATCCCGAACTATGACCTCAAGTGGTGAGTTGTATATATCAGGCAAATTACCAAAAAAACCAACTGCGTATTAGTACCTTCTACTACACATTTAAAAATTAGAAATTGGCACAAAACTCTTACTAAATATGTATTATTATAAGCATGCTTATCTCTAGTTGCACTACTAGGAAGGTTTAATCCAAAGACACGTTCCCCTTTTCTCTTAAGAGATGAATATGTTCCCAAGAAAGAGAAGAATGAAATTATCAAAGCAGTATCTCAAGATGAGAACAGGCATGAGCCATAAGGAAATATTTTTAAGTTTTCTCATATCTTAAATGTCATAAATATTACAAAGGAGGGATAATTGGAAACTTTCCTATGGACTGTCAAACATGAATACATCAAATGCCTATCAGTTCTGTCATTTTACAATTCTTTGGCATTGCAGTGATCTCAAGAAAGGTGACAGCTATCTATCCATCTATCCATCATCCACACACACACACACATAAAAATCAGGATTAAAACAAATACTTATCTTCTCCACCTGGAGCTGCTCTAAACTGAGTAAGATTTCCAGTCATTGCAAGCATAAATCACATTGTGAATTATGACCAGAGGTAACAGAACTGGATTTCTGTAGACTCGCATATTAAAATAGCTAAAGTGTTTCCATACACAAAATAAAATGCCAAAATCAAAAACATTTTTCCCATATATGCACAGATACAGATATATATCATATTTTGATGACAGAACAGCAAGTCAAGTTGGTGATCAATGCAAATCATAAATGATCTAAAGTTAACATTTAAATTGAGACAATTGCATCATCACAAAAATAAGACACTTAGCCATCTTTATTATCCAAGTAAAATGTTTCCTTCTCCAAACTGATTTACTGATTATTTTTTTTCATTTATTACATAATTACTAAGAGTCATAGTTTTCAGTTTGTACTTTCAATTCTGAAACATTCTTACCTTGCACTGGAAATATCTCTGGCAAAACACAACTATAAGAGACTCACAATGCAGGGGGCCAGCACTAAACATTTCCTCCCCCACCCCACTCCCGTATTGATTAGAGGGGCAATTCCCAGAGTGATCATGAGTCTTCTGTAGGTGCTCAACCAGGACTTTTCTCCCCACAAAATAGCTACCATTTCTTTACTATCTTTTAGATGCTAAGTTACCTAAATACCTCTTGCTTCATTATCTAACTTTTTCCACCAATGGTCTTTTCTATTCTTGCTCTGTTGATTACTTACTTTGAATAGATGCTTTTACAGAGCATCTGTGAGCCTGCTTTTGCTTTGCCTTTATCCATACTGGCTAATGACTATTATTGTATTTATTATGCTGTTTACTACTTCCCTTAGCAGTAATAAAAGTAATTACCAAATTATTTCAGCTTATTACTTGTTACTTTGTAAAGTATTTGCATAAGAAGGCGACAATTTTTATATTTAGCTTGCCACTTGGAATATAGTCATGGACAATAGCTCCTGTCATGTATAAATTTTATGAACAAAACAATTTAAAAAAACTAAGCCGGTCTCTGTAAACATTTTATTTTTAAAAACGGGACCCAGAGTTTAATCTGTATATCGATGAGAAATACATCCCTGCTTAACTTTCTGGCCAAATACCAAATAAAATTGTGTATTTGCACAATCAATGAAGCATAAGCCAATCAAGTGGACTAGCTTAACAACATGCTAAGCCAGGCATGTCAAATTGCCAGCCCGCAGGCTGGATGCATCAAGCTGAAACCCTGCCCACCCTATTATCAGCAATGGGGAAGAAGTCGCAATACATCACGTGATATCATGTGACATCGCAAGTTTGACACGCCCGTGCTAAGCCATGAAAAAAAAATCAACCAAATTAAAATTAAACTAACTAAACTGATTTGGTTTAGCCATGTCATTCAAACTAAGACTACGATTCTTCATTTATTTTAGATGCAGGACTTTTTAAAATAACAAAATATGTACAATTTTGCAGATTCCACTGCTTAATTTTTGCACCATGAATATTTATGATATTACTCAGGTGGGATCCCTGTGAATTTTCTCCAAGTACAGGGTTAAAAAAACATTCCTCCTGGATATTATCATATTTCCTCCCTCAACATGGCATGCTGCGGGACTAATAAAAAAAAATAACAATAGAAAAAAATGGAAGGACTTTGGAGTGTATTCAGAAAATGTCTTGAGCCTCAAAAGTACTGCATCCCTGTGCTACTCATTAAAGCAGCTCACTCTTTTTAGGCTTCTGAATAAAAAACAAATGCAGCTGGTTTAACCACTGCACTGTGTAACAAGTTGACTCCATAATGCAGTGGCATCTTTTTCAGTCTCATGCATAAGCATAAAAAAAAAAACTTCAGGTCACTTTAATATACAGATAGTC